ATACTGGGAAGCGTGCAGGCACCCCGGGTGCGGCCGCGGGGAGGGTGGCCCGCAAGCAGGAGAGCACCATTTACGCCGTCCGCCGGTCCAAGAGACTCAACCCTGAGCTTGGCCACTGGCTCTCTTTCCTTGACGAGCCGCCCCCCGAGCCCTCTGTACCCCAGGAGGCAGGTGATGGCCGTGGCCCCCGGGACACCCTAGCCTGCCGAGAGCCTACACCGTGCCCAGCACCGGAAGGCTTCTCCACTGACGAGCCTGCAGACAAAGTGGAGGTGGGAGTCTCGGCACCACCCATAGAGCTCCAGCCCCTCTCCCTGTGTTCCCCAGAGGACGGCGAGGTGGGCGACGGGGCTGAGAGCCAGCACTGTGCCCTCTTGGAGCAAGCAGGTGAGGGGGCCTGGGGCTTGCCCCTCCTGGGCATGCCTACGCTGCCTGGGGCGCTGCCAGTGCTGTCCCTGCTGCTGGTGCCTGGCACTCAGCTGGGTGAATCTGTGAGCAGCCCCAAGCACAGCTGGGCACTGACCCATGTGCCAGCTGGCTGTGGGGTCCCATGCATGGGGAGCTGGGGCCTTGTTCTGGGTTTGGGGTGCTTTTTCAATCCATGGGGGCCTTCTACCTCAGTTCCCCCGTCCTTACAATGAGATGGCGTTGTCATAGTGCTAATCCAGCAGGGTCTAGGCTGCCCCATCCCTTCGGGTCTCTCTACCCCATGAGCTCGCCCGGTGCCTGGGCACCCAGGTTTGGCTGCACCAGTGCCCCTGAATTGCAGCTCTGTGCAGGTGCTTTGTGAGCACGATGGGCTCAACCCTGGCAACGCTGGCCCTCCCGCTGATACTGCTGCCTCGCAGGCAGGCAAAGCCAACAGCCCCCAGGCCCCGGCCGGGCCAAGGCGGGCAGAGTGGCCCCAGCTCCTGCTGCAAGACCTGCGGGCACTGGAGAGACCACAGCTCCACCGGTAACCCTGCTGCTCTCCCTGCCTTTCAGAACCACCCCGGTGTCTCACGCTGTCCTTGGCACAAACGTAAGTGCGCACGGGGCCGAAGGAGCGGCGCTGGGGCCGGAAAGCTGCCTAGGTTTGGCTGGCTGGGCAGGCACCTGCAGCAAGCAAGTGGAGCTGCTGCTGCGGCGCAGGACGAGCCATGCAGCTGGGCGTGGCGCTGTGGGCAGGCACGGCCGTTGCTGGGGTGCCAGGAGCTCGGAGCGCCCTGAGCCAAGGGCAGGGCATTGCTGCGTGCCCTGGGCTCTGGCTGGGATGGGGAGGGCACGCTTCTCGCCCCGCTGCCCGTTGCGCCCCTCCGCGGGGTTGCTCTGTTGGGAACTAGCCATGGTGGGAAAGCTCACTTGGAGGCAGCTGTTTTTCAGCTCCCTTTTGCGTTCTGGGACTGTGGTTCACCTAAACACCTTCTCTCTCCTTGTTTTCTGCTCCTCTCCAGCGATCCAGCCTTTGGGAAGAGAAACTTTGAGCCGATGTTGACTGTGGAGCTGTGTGGAACAGCAGGTAGGATGAGCTTTTAATTTCTTAATTTTGCAGAAGTCCTCCCTGGGAGAGGGCAAATTTACCCTTCATTCAGCCTGAAGTCGCCAGGTCCAGCCAAGCCCAGCTGAGGTGGAATGCTCATCTCCTGGCCCAGGACACCCCCTCTGCAGCACAAACACAGGATAATTCCCATGTGCTGCCTCCACATCCAGGCACCATGAGCAGCTCAGGGGGATGCATTTGGGATGGAGGGTGCTATGCAGGGGGGCCCTGCATGAGCCAGAAGGGAAGGGAGAGTCCTCTGGTCCTCTCTGGGATCAGGCATCTTTCTTTTTCCACAAAGTGCCACCGGATGAGGCTGCAGGGGCCAAGCAGCTTCCTCCATCACAAGATCTGGTGCTGGGGCGGGACGGAGGAAGCTGGCAGTGGCAGAGCTGACTCCTGCCCTTTGTTCGGGGGGGGTGTTCAGGTCTCACGCCGCCCACCACTCCGCCGTATAAGCCCGCTGAGGAGGACCTGTACAAGCCAGATATCCCCCAGGAGCCAGGGAAGGAGAACAGGACGGCCCCCACCGCTGGGGACACAGGGGATGTGGCAGCGTCCCAGAAAGCCCCCAGGAAGCACCCTGAGAGGACAGAGCTCTTCGCCCACCTGAGCCGAGCCGCCGGGCGCCCCGCACTCCCCGAGCAGCAAGGTGTGCTCAAGCGTCCCTTCTCCCGCTCCTTTGGCGACCACGACTACTGCCAGGTCCTGAAGCCCGAGGCCACCCTGCAGAGGAAGGTGCTCAAGTCGTGGGAGCCCCTGAGCCAGGTGGAGATGGAGCACAAAAGGAGGGTCCCAGCCACCCACTACCAGGGGCTGGACCTTGGCGGCAAGGATGCAGGCGGCGAGGTGCTATGGAAGGACGGCGTCAAGCAGCTGAGAGACCAGGAGATCAGAGCCAGTTTAACGAAGCACTTTGGCTTTCTGGACAGTGCTTTTGACAACAAGGACATGATCTTCTGCAAGACCCCCGAGTACGACACCGTCTTTGAAGACAGCTGCAGTGAGAGCGGCTCCCCCGTGGAGGAGGAGGAGGAAGAGGAGGAGGAGGAGGAGCACGGCGACGCCAAGCTGTGCTTGAGGAGAAGCTCCCTTTCCAG